AACAAATTAGAAAATGCGTATTATTATACACTTTTATTTGATTTGACTTGTTTCATGTTAGTAAGGATGGAATTTTGTAATCAATTTTTCACTCACCCCTCCTGTTCTAGAGTTTTGAAATTTAGCACACTTGTGTATTATCGAAGATAATACACTATTTTTTAATTTCAGTACTTAATTATTAGTTGATCGATTGACTTAATTAAATATTCCTTACTTACCCGTTGGGCCACCTGATATTTAATTTGGGAAACAATTGATCATCAGATTCAATGATATTTATAATGATGAATTATAACTTAAAAAATGAAAAGTATATAGTATAAAAAATATTTACTTTTCAACACAATAATATAAGTTTTTTCCTTAAGTTTATTTTTGATGTTATATTAAAAGTTTCGATATATTAAGACAAACCGTTCACGAACGAAAATGTCATCAAAAAGGATTTTAATCCTCTAAATGCATAGAATGGGCGACATTTTATGAGACCGAAATGGATATTTTCCTGAAACATTCCCTAACAGTTGAAGGTTTCCACATTTAATATTAACGAAATTTTGTCTGATCAGAATTATTGCATTCTTGATGGCATGAAATGTAATGGTGAAACACAGATAATACCATCTGAATTATTCAAAATATTCAGATGGGAACCACCAGCTAGATACGGACATAAATTTTCAAGCAAATCGAAAACGGTATTGACTAATTATATTCTGTAGAGAAAATAGGGAATCCGTGACGCAAATTTGATTTTTTTTCCTAATATTTCCTAAAAATTTTGCTTGTAATTATTATAAAATTAAAATACATATATCACTTTTCGATCAGGATTGTTATCCATTGAGTCGTTATTTTATTTTTATTCTTTTTTTCAAGATTCTCTCTTTGTCCTCTAAGAGACCTTTGAACAATATACCGTAGACTTCTTCAGTAATAAAATTTTTCTTTACTCAAGAAAAATGATATCTTATATCAGCGTAATACAAAATAATAATAAAAAATCTTAATAAATTTACTTCGACTGTTTTCACACACTGGTAAAGAAAAATATCCTCAGATATATATAGTTATTTAGTTGTAATTTTCTCTATACAGGGTGTTGCAAAAGAATGTATACGCACTTTAAATACTTATTATATAAACACACACAATCATTAACATACGTCAAAGTTCCATAACGCAAATTAATTTATACAAATAAAGAATTTTGTCGGTTGTCGGAAGTGTTCAAATTGTTTACCGTTATTGTCCAGGAGCTGCCGAAAAACCATACGACTGAATTGCAAAGCGGCACTAAGCATGTAAATTGCATTTGGAGCTGGTAATTTGCAGCTGGCCTTGAGTTATAAACATGATGCTTCATGTTTCAGATTTTATACCATTATCAAACAGGGACAATCGTTCGCCGAGTAGCTCAGTTGCGTCCATTTTTCGAGCCATTATTTATGAAAAGTGTCCTTTAATGTAAAAAATTGCAATTTCAAAAAAAATCCGAAAAGTTATTGTATTAATTATTTAGAATTATGGAATTTTCGATGGCTAACAAGATTCTAAATTTGTATTCATTAATTTCGGTAAGGAATCGGTGATGTATGTTTCTAACTCTTTGATCCCGAGGCGACATTTTCCCTTCTAGCTCCTTTAAAACAGGGACTTTTGGGGGAGAAAGCGACATGAATTGAACTCTCCCAAACTGGGTGGGAATTTACCCTACCATTCCATCCCTTGCTATAACCTTCTCCTAAGGCGCCCGGAAACAGGCTGTGGTTGCTAAGGGTAATTGTCCCCCCCTAACGCGCTTATCTTCTAAGCGATCTCAGAAGCCAACCGTCTCAGACCGGTCATCGTCGCTGTTAAGGGGAAAATTTTAGACCTCCCTAGGTGTGAAAGGGTTAATTATGTGTTTATGTAATAGTTATTCAAAATCTGTACACATTTTTCTGGAACACCTTTTATTCAGAAAAAAAACCTAATTGGGAGGGGGGGGGGTCTATGTCGCAAATTCCAAATATCATCCAAGTTGCCGGACAGAATGATTTTACAAGTATTATTCGTTTCACATAAAACAATTTCCTATGGTTCGAAATACTTATTTAAATTTAAAAGTTTAGTGAAAAGAAATTTAATCGAATGTGAGATACATTCACACAGAGATAACATTTTTATACGCCCCAAAAAATAAATAAATCTGTCATTCTGGAAATTTATATTACTTTTACATCAATAAATTCAAATTCATACTCTGAAATTATATTTTCCACGGTTATTATCATAACAAAGCTTTCTGCGTTTCGATGAAAGAACCAGTCATATTCCCCCGTAAAATTTGATTTATTTTGTCTGGAGTCTGTCTAAGGCTGATTTCCTTTTGGTTCTGTCCTTCCATATGAAGCAAGGAATAATAATATAACCGTCTCTGAAGATCCTGTTTCGTAAAATCAATAACTGGTTGGATGCGCAAAATATTTTTAAGCTAGTTGGACGTCAATCAGATTCGACTTAAGTGAATTTCGTCACATCGATCAAATATCTTCCAGTCACGTGTCTGTTTGAATAAGAATCTTTACGCGTTTTAGTCTCGGATTTAAGAGTAAATTTTTTATAAATGTTGGGAATTTTCCAGCAGTTTTGAAATCAGTCTTTCTTGTAAGGTAATTTACTCTGCCCCCCACCCGAAAAAACTTTTCGGAGAAAGAATAATGCGAAATTGGATCTCTTTTCAATTGATGATTCTATCGTCTCATGATTTTGAACTCCGAAGAAGACATATTGAAAAAAGAAATGTGATAAAAACGACTTTTAAAAACTCACCTTTATTAGTGTACTGAAAAGTAATTACTTTTTATTTTACTTATTTTCTAATTTCAGTCTTAAATTTACTATTTATTATATACACCACGAAATCTCAAAATCTTTTTTTCTCAAACTCACTCCCAGATGCCGCTACACTATGGAATCGAAATTCAATTCAATTAATTGATTAACTGATAATAAATTATGGAAATATTGAAATAGTGTATTTTCTCCAAGAACGTATAAATGTACAAAATTTAAATTCTGTTGTACATCAGGAATTGAGAGAAAAATTAAACTATATGTTCGAAAGTAACCGTACTCTTCCGAATTTTCAAATTTTTTCGAATTTCTCCTGAAAGCCTAGACCAACGGTCCTTGAACTTCGACAATGTAAAGAATAGCCTCTAGCTCGCATTTTGCAGTGAAGATTCGGTAAAGAGGGCATTTAGGGGGCCGACCAGAAATTAATGAAGAAGAAACAAATCTGGGCCCACCCCACTTCACAGAAAGCTGATAATGATGTACAAATTTCGGCAATGGTTTTGCTTAATATGCACATTGCTTTCCACCCTTTTTGTAAAATTAGCATGTATATTCTGGAAAATATAAATGCTTTCTTAAAAAATCTTAAATTTTACCATATGTTTTTTGCTCATAAAATGCAGAGTTTTTCCACCAAATAACATGAACTTACTTTAAAATTTGTAGTGAATACTATGAATAACAGAGGAAATACGAGTCCTTATAGTAAATAATTTTTCACTGCGCATGTGCTAGACATAGCGTAATTTTTCTTTCACGACTTCAAAGCCAAATATATAGGACAAATATAAAAATTTCAATTGAATACCATTAATGTTTGGAAAGATATCAGCATTGCAGTTAGCAAAATTTTTCTTCTTTCTTAGAGAAACAAAATGATGAGGGTTTTTCCGCGAATTGCTGTTTTTAAATCGTTGGATAGTTATCGTCGAAATGCAGTTTAAATTGTGAATTTTATTTATAAGTATGCCTGGGTATTCAGCAAATTTAATCTTTGTTAAATTCTATAAAATGTTTCGAAAATTTAAGTTATAAAATATCAGTTTAAGGAAAAACCCTCATCATTTTGTTTCTCTAGAGGGTAGCAAAAATCCTGCTCACGGAAATGCTGATATCTTTCTAAATATTAAAGGCATTCAACTGGAATTTTTTACATAAGATACTCTATATATCTGGCTTTGAAATTGTGAAAGAAAAATTACACTATATCTAGCACATCCGCAGTAACCCAGCTAAAAAAAATCTGCAGAAAAAAATTTTCGAAGTTTTCTTAAAGATTTCTGCAGATTTTTTGAAGAGAGAAAAAATCTGCGTTTTTTCTTCAATTTTATCTGCAGAAAATTTTCTTATTACATTTTTCTCTAAATATTCTGCAGATTTTTAAATACAGAAATAATCTGCATTTTTTCTTCAATTTAATTTGCAGAAAATCTGCAATTTTTTTTATTTTCTTCTTTAAATATCCTGTAGATTTTTAAGACTTTGCATTTTGTCTTCAATTCAATTTGCAGTTATTTAGCAGATTTCAAGAAAATCATTCAACTTGACCCATATTTGTTGATTGTTTGAAGATTTAACTGCAATTTCATAATATCTGCATTTCTCTAAATACATATTTTGCACCATGTTCTCTAATATTGCAGCTTTATTTTCCAAAGGATATAAAACAAAATTAGAATGTATATTGTTTAATTCTACAGCAGACAGGAGTTTCAAGAAATTTCTCAATCGAAAATTATCTTAGGCATTAAATTTTAAAAATATGCCATTAAAAATGAATTCTAAAATTATCTTTAAAATAAATATTTGATGTTTTACCATTTTAAACTTTTCCCCCATAATTTAATTAATTTCCAATTATTTTTCCAACTGTCTTTCTGACTATCTATTTTCCTCCAAAAAAGAAGGGAAAAGTGGAGCTTGCGCACTTTGGATGGAGAGAAGGCTTACCAGAAAGATAGAAAGTGAAAACGAATTTATTGAAACAGAGAATCTAAATTATTGAACAAAAATATTACTTATCTCATCTGTTGCTCATCTCTACGACTTTGAAACACGTATTCTAACCTTAGTTGATTTTTACACCCTAGATGGTGCCACGAGAGCTATGGTGACGCTAAAACTCAAATAGATTAATTTATCCCCATCTCGCGTATTCTTTTGCGGCGTAGTGGTTAGCGTTCCTGCCTGGCAACTAGAGGGATACGCGTTCGAATCGCGGACCGGATGAGTTTGAAGTTTTGTCACAATCTAAATCGGCATCCTACAAGTAAGTTAAATCACAAATTAGATTAATGAAATTAATAATTAAACATTGACTGTAGAAAAATCTGCCGAAAATCTGACGGTATTTGGAACATATTTTTTTCAGATATTCTACATTTTTTTCTGCAAAAAATCCGAAGAAAACATGTTCCAAATACCTTCAGATTTTCTGCAGATTTTTTTTAGCTGGGAAGAAATGATTTCCTACCAATACTCATTTTTCCTTTATTATTCATATCATTTACTTCAAATTTTAATGAAATACTTTTCTAACACGTCATGTATTCTGTAAGTTTCACATAATTTGGTTGAAATCTCTGCATCTTATACGCAAAAAAATGCGGGAAAATTTGGGATTTTTTAGAAAAAACCTTTTTATCTTCTAAAATATACTTGCTTTTTCACGAAAATGCATGTAAGCAATGTGTATATTAAGCAGAACCATTTATGAAATTAGCTTTTATTATCAGCTTTCTGTGGAATGGGGAGAGTCTGCAATTTTTTTTTCCTTATTGATCAATTTTCGGTCGGTCCCCTAAATGCCCTCGTGACCGTATCTTCACTGTAAAATGTGAGTTGGAGATTATTCTTTAAATGGTCGAAGTTCAAGGGCAGTTAGTCAAGCCTTTCCGGAGAAATTCTAAAAAATATGTGAAAATCCGAGAGTTCCCGGATACTTTTGATCATATAGTATAATTACAAAATTCCATCTTTACAAACATGATACACGCCAAGTTAAATACAAGTGTTTAACAAGATTCGATATTATGGGCATTTGCAATATTTTCAAGCTGTGAAAAATGCTTACATATCCCCTCATTATTTAACTAACTCTCTGCACTCCTTGTAAAATAGTGTAGTTTCTATAAAAAAAACTATAATTGATATGATCCTCATGAGCAAACGAGCCTATTTATTAGGTTTATTTGAGTTTCATTGGCATTAGCATGATTATTTGTTTAGCAGACAGGAAATAAAAGGATTATACAACTGGACATACATTTTAAGGTATCCGACTGTGTTCGGAGACATTTTTTTGAAAAATAACTTATATATATTTTTAATGTTATTTTTCAACTGCATATACTTTAAAACTATGAAAATATTGTAAAATTAAGTTTTCAAAAAATATTTTTTAAAAAAACTAAGAAATTTGAAGAAAAATGACTAAAATATTTGCCTTACGCTAACAGCCATAGACAAAATCATATTCTAAATATACATAAATCCTTATAGGAGTACATTTTTATGACAGTTATCTGTGTTATGCTCTAAAATATTTTTTGTACTTCAAAATAGTTTTGAGATATAGCTGAACATAGTTACTAAACTGGTAATTTTTCATAAAAAATCCTTTTCGTTTATATTTAAGCGCTTAAAAATAATACTTGATTTTAAAACTGACCTTAATTTTTAGAGGAAAACATCAAGCATATTACAGAAAACAATCTCAGAAAATTTCATATCAATACTTGAATAACGTTCAGAGAAATCATTGTTACAGTTGACAGTTTTCCTCAAAAATATCATTTCTCAGAAAACACATTTAAATTTTTCATGCAACTTAAAATAATGCTTACAGTTCGGTAATAAAACAGCTATAACTCCATTTGTAATTCACGTAGCAAAAAAAGTGAGACAGTTTTAGAAAGCTTATTAAACAGGCTACAAAATTAAGTCATAAAATCTTTTTTGATAATTTCATCAAAAACGACCATTTTAAACCAGTCGGATACCTTAATGATATTTCACAGTCTGTTATAATTTGAAGATACATTTCTCATATTATGAATATCTATTAATGTTGATCTAACTCAGAATTTTGGAAAAGAAAATTAAAATGTTTCTTCGAATATTTTCAGTTGGTTTCTCAGTTTTGAATATTCTAAGAATAAAATATTATTCGCTGATGAATAACATATCAGCAACTTTTCATCTTTATAAAACAAAGCTACAATTCTAACCGAATTTCCAGAATACAAACGGATAATATCATATGTCTGCAAAAAGCAATATCGGAAAGATGCTTCCAATTAGGATATACTGTCTGTCTGCCACGAGAACCGTGTTCACCAAGTTGCCTATCTGACGGCGGTTGCTATAGAAACTGGATATGTTAGGGAAGATCCATTTCGAATTGGAGGAATCCGACTGAAGTCGGGATTTTATTTTATTCTTGGCGCCAGTTTGCGGCGATAGAAAGAGTACATCATTCATGAATTCTACCTACTCGAAATGGATTCCTCCTACTATAAACTGCTTATATAGACACCGCCGTCAACGAGACAACTTGGCGAGCAGAGTTCTCGCCAAGTTGTCAATAGACACTAGCTGATGTTGTATATTCAAGATACGTTTATAACATATGGAGGATTCAAAGTTAAACCTAACCAAATACATGTTTTGTCCTTTTTGCACTAACGCTGCCATGGTAGTGCAGAAATTTTATAGTTTATGAGCACTAATGATTCAAGTGTATAGTTCAATTTATATCCACAACCATGAACAATTTAAGTCCACGGTTATTTTAAATGCAGTTAATAAAATTTGAGATCTGTTTTCTTAGAAATCAGTTTCATGGAGTTGCTCACTTTAACACTGACCCTCCATCTATGAATTCTGTTTCGTATATTCTCAAGTTTCTGACAAATTACGGAATTGTCTTAGAAATGGTTTAGCTTTTACTTAAAAATCCGAAATAGAGAAGAAAAATAAAGGGTGGTCCTAAATTATTGGACCCATTTTAAAAATTAATAAAAAAAAAACTAACAATGTTACAGATACGGTTTTGTTTTTAATGAGAGTGCATTTAAAAAACTTTTTTTCAGATAGGCAACTCATCGTTACGGTGGTCTAGGTGGTCGTAAATTATTGGATAGCTCCCCTTTTTGAGAGCCATTATATGTCAAAATGTTAAAATTAGATGAAAAGTAAAAGCAATTATTTGTAGAGAATTTTACGCTCTTTAATTTATTAAATCAATTTTAATTCGAAAACGGAATAGTTTTCGAGATATCCAAGAAAAACTAAAAAAGGAAACCAAAAAACGAGCATCTGCTTCCCCTGATCCGTAGTCATTGCATTTGGAAATCCCTCGCTGTAGCAAATTAAGAACGCCGTAATGGCACGCCACCTATCTAATAAAAACATTTTTTATTCGCTCTCTCATGTAAAAAAACTGCAGATATAACATTCTTATTTTTTAAATTAATTTTTGAAATGGTTCCAGCAATTTATGACCAGCCTTTAGAGTCAAAATAACTAAACATAACCAGAATTGTGTGGATAATTTTTTTCTTATTTTCATAAACTGGGTATGGAGCATAAAAATCAAATACTGTATTGTATTTCTAACGTTAGATGAAATCGAATGACATTTTTCTTTCAAACATCATATTTATTCTAAACTTACATAGCACACTGATATTCTTTAACATTAAATAATTATAATCTATTTTCAACAACATTATACAAATTAATATGATAGAAGTCTCAAAACATTTTTTTCATCGTTCCTAGCAATATAATTTTTTCATCTTTCATTACACAAAAGAAAAGAATACTGTTTCGTTGGCATTCTATTTCTACTAAACGTTTTCATATATGCTCATATCAAGTGATTTTTTTATTTTGAAATTTCTTTTTTAAAATAAATTATATTTTATGCCCTCATTATATTTTAAATATCTTAATATCAACTAAATAAAACTTAGAACAGCTATTAACTTTATGAAATATTTTTATATTATATAAAATATCTCAATACAATGTTTTAATAACTGTCATAACCTACATATTTGAAAGCAATATTTTCAGAAGGATAAGGGCATAAAATAAAGGGCTCTTAATCAAATTTCTGAAAAATCTTCAGTATAGAAAAATTATTCAAGTATAGAAGTCAAATAATAGCTTTAAAGAATGAGAAATAAAATTGTATTCTTTATGTCCAAATAATATTCTATAAATTAAGCAAACACTTTGAGTGTAAATAACTTTCCTATGAATTAGAAGCCAAAAAAAATAAACTTGATGCACTTTCTGAAACTTCAGGTTCCTTAAATTAAATTATGCTTTCCACAGCTCCACCAAATGTAAAAAATGATGAAACTGAAAATAAATTTTAGGAAACGAATTGGTAATAATAAATACAAGTTATAGTTATTTATCTTTTTTGAGTGACGAATGCTTGAATTCAAATGCAGAAGTAATTATTGTGAAATAGTTAAGTATGTACTTATCTTGACTCGGGTGAAAAAATATTAAATTATTTTAGTATTCAAGTATAGAAGTCAAATAATAGCTTTAAAGAATGGGGCTAGAATCACAGAAAAAAATACATGAACTCTCATTCCGTCATGAGCCAATAAATATATGATATTGATAATGAAGGGCAACATCCCTTCTCATTTGTTTTCTAATGTTTCCTAAACAATAAGAAGTTTTCCAAAACATGATTATGTTGCCTTTTCCATTAGTATGCGAAACCAACAAATATACGAATAGATAAAACAAATAAAAACAGGCTCAATCATCCAGTAGTTTTGCATAAAACTGTATAATTCTCTTTGATCAAGGAGAAATAATATCCTTTCCGACATAACTCCATTAGATTGAAAGCTCTTTTTATGCGTGTTCTTCCAAAAATTTGATGGGAACTGGGAATCAAAATGAATTAATTTCGAACATTTTTCCATCACAACCATATTTACTGAAATGCGATTTTCTTAATTATGTGAAAAAAGGACCGTCATTTATTCATGAATAATGTATTAGAAGCAATCTTTCGCATTATTTATGCATTTGACTTTAACAAAACCAGTAAATGAACGTCTCTGTCTCTTTCCATTTGTGTGTGTGTGTGTTGACTACAGAACGCAATTTTTATTGACACATTTCTAGAAATCAAAGAGAATTCTCAAGACAATTCAGCGAGTTCAAAGTAAGAGAAATTAAATTAATCCATATG